TGAACAATGGCTCTTCGAATATGAAATATAAAAACGCGGAAGAATTTCTCGCAAACAGCGCCACATGATATATATACATATAGTACTGATCGTGTGGGCAGTGTTCTAGCTTTTGTTTCTATGCCGCTCAGCTCTTTTACGTAAAGTCACTAATTCTTCGCTGAAAACAACAGAGATGAACGGCTATAATTGATATGAACTAATGTGGTAAGCCTTCTCAATGTGAGTGAAATCATTGCAGAATGAGGATAGTGCTGCAAGCTCTGTTCTTGAACGTTGCCATCAATGGAGGCTTTGTCGATGTGTCGCCAGGGAAGACCTTATCACTTGAAGAAATACTTCAGGTTTTTCTTGTTTCGAACGCATTTCAGCTATGAAAGAAACGGTTCCGGGTGAGCTGTGGTGGGCCTGTATAGGGTTACAGTAAATGTCAGAGACCTCAAGGCCATTAATAAAAGAATCTATAGAATAAATACAAAAAAGTTGAGAAGAAGGCGCGCATGCGCGGACATGGCTGTGATGCGAGCGCATCCGAATCACGCGGTCCCGCGCGGCCTATAAAGCGTGATTCGCCTGCAAATGCCTCGCTATTCATCCTCGGATAACTTGCGCATTGAACATTTCGAAATGATATCCTGCCATTGACATTATCTGTATTCACATCTCAAAGTGTGGCCCCTGTGCGCGTAGTTGCGACATGTGGTTGTGTAAATGGCAACTAGCGGCTATTTTTGTTCTTTCTGGGCAATTTTTTTCCACGACTCCCATTGGCTTCTAGTCCTCCCAGCCAAAATCAACCGTCACCTTGATGAAATTGCTGAAATGCTGAAAAACCGCATCAGGACAGGATGTGCCCACCACGACCCCTCCCTCCATAAGGATTGGCTGTGTCCATAGTGTAGATGAACCTGGTTCATCTCGACACACACACCAAACTCCGTCCTCAAAACTTTTGCAAAATACCGAGAATCTACTTCTCATCGTATCCCCCTTCGAAAGAAGCCAAGCATGCGCAAAAAGAGTCACAAGGTTGTTCCTTCCACTCCCCACCCCTCACCCATTAGGGTTCTGGATAAATTCATTGCAGTGAACATAGCTGAAATCATTTTGCGCTCTTCCGTTTACTGGTACTCACCACTCAAAGGTGTACATGGCATTCGCAACACGTGATTGTGGAATGGCTACCAGCAGTAGTGTTGAATCTGGCTGATTTTGTTTCCAGAATTCAATCATTTCCTGCTCCTACCAAACGGGCTCAAGCGTCCGTGTTGAAAAATGATGGGCCTCTCTGAACGAGATTGATGTCGCCATCCTCCCCCATCACTTCCAGTCGTTTAACGTCGAGTGCGTGATGTGCGGCTAAACCTTGTTCATTTGACGCGCATTAGGAAACTTCATCCCAAAGCTTCTGCTGGGTCGAAGTGAGTTCGAAATGGGACGCTATAAGGAACCTAAATATGTGCAAAAAAGTGATAGGTTGAAACCACAACGCCAAGCTTACGCAAAGAAGGGAGATTCCGGCTGTTGCCGAGAGACAATCTGGTCTCTTATAAAGCACACAGCTTGCTTTTTTTCAAAATGATCACGTTTCCACCTAAAATTGAGCTTGAAGAGAGTTGTAGTGTTTGAGTAATGAAAAGCGCGTTCTCAGGAGAGTACCTCGTGAGGGAAAAAAACCGGCCCGGGCTATTTTTGAGCCAATCAATTTTGGAATGAGTTCATACGCGTTAAAAAGCCCCATTATAGCTTGTGCAGAAGGTAAGTCTTGAGAAAAGCTGCTCAAATGAAGGCGAATTCTTTCGTTCTCAGCGTATGAGGCCACCACGCATGCGGTGGTTCACTTTGGGTAGGAGGCCCGTCGCGCGGCAAGAAGGCAGAGTCGCGGACGAGTCGCAGCGCGTGATGTGCGATGTAGGACGTGCAATGGGACATTCTATTTAACTTGACGCGAAATCCCTACAGTACGCGCGCAACTCGTCCGCTGACTTGCCTTCTTGCCGCGCGACGGGCCTCCTGGGGGTACCCGTTCACTTTTACTACAAAACGAAAAAGAAATATGAGTGCTGCGACTGAAGTTGTCTACAAAAGCTATGGTAAGAATTTGGGACTTTATTTACTTGGCGAGTTCGCACGTTCCCCTAATACGAGGCTATATTCGTATAAGATTAAAGCATGAAATGCCAGACGTCTCTTTAAAAAGACGGTGCTGCATCATGTGCAGCACTCGCTACGCATTGGGTCAAAATCAGCAGTGTCGGCCTATTAGCGCTAAACTGAGAGAGAGATGGTGCACACCAAAAGAAGGCAACCTGATCCAGCCGCGCGCAGGTCGCAGGATAACTGTTACGTGGAGGGGGAGGGATTGGAGCGAGAATCATTGAAGGGAGAAAGGGGACGTAAATTTTTGAAATCGGACTAACGTGCCGGTTGACCCTAGGTGACCCTTGTGACAATATTAGGTTGGCAAGACTGAAATGTCGCTTCCGTTTGTGCCTTTATTTCTCAGCATCGAGAGAGCGGTCCAGCGCGCATATTGCGAAATCTTAGCGCCACGAGCGGATGTTCTTCGAGCCAAAACTTTTGCTCGAAGATGACTGATCAGAAATCATCGTCTGAGCGTATATATTCAAGCAAGAAAAACGGCCAACGAATCTCACTCATTGTGTGCAAAACATTGAGCAGTAACACTTAGTCTCTGATGCACTTTCAGCTATGGTTTCAGCTCTTCCAAGACTGAGGTAAAGGACCTGAGGACGAAGATCGTGGATTTTGACCTCTAGCTCTAGATGACGGAGAAATAAAGAAAGCCAACGAATTGAGTCCTCGACAAACCGCACAAAACTTGCATGGAGATTCAGTTGTGTCAACAGAAAAATTTAAAGTTCTACGTGCGACTGTTAAGGCCTTTCAGGATAGAAAATGGGTTCGGCCTATTCTGAGCGACGCGAGCAAGCAGTACTGGTTGCCATTACTGGAATTCTGTTCCATAACTCCAAGAGAAGAAGGCTCTCGGACTTCGTTGTAAGCGCACTTCACACGCAGGATGTTCCCCGATAATGAAGTAGAGATGGCTACGGCTGGGAGCAGAGGACAGCTGAGGATGACTTCGAAATTGGACATCCACGGAGAAGAAGTCATGCTACGGTGTGGTGGAACAGTATAAGACTGGCTTGCTATGGAGAACTGATTGTGTGTAAGACAGTCACAGTTGGACTCTGCGAGACTTCAGGGTGAATTGGCCCAAATGTAAATATTTGACGATTACAATGGAACCGTGTCGTGAATATCACGACAGCAAGAATCAGGATTTGGGCTTGAGACTTCTTAACCTTGCAGCGACATATAGCCAGGTCTGGCGTCGTTCGACTATCACTGACCTAGGTCAGCGCAACACTCCATAGCAGCAAACCAATTCGATAACCGCGACGACGTCAAAATTTGAGTGCTCCGATTCTATAGAGTCAAGCCAGGAAGAGTTTACGCGGTAGCCATTCTATGCTCTGCGCAACAAAGGGCGATCCTGACCTGTGACACAGGTGAAGAGATGTTGTCGATAATGGCTTCATTATTGTTCTTCACCTTAATGAAAATAATTGCATGATCAAACCGGATTTCTAATCTGGCAGACCTAATATATCGCTCGGAGGCAGATTTTTTCTTACGTTGGAACTTCAGAACTTTTTTCTCAAAGCTTTTTCAGATGTCCCTGAAAAACGTGGTTTCTCCCAACACGACAGTTTTGAACCAGGTAATAGTGTCTCTAACGCCACCAACAATCATTTCTTAAGCTAGTATGCAAGATCGCCGACATGGGTTCAATCGTGCGGCTGTTCAGGGAACTTCCCAGGAACTACCAAAGGTCAAATTCAACCACGTCAATGAGGGGGATTATTCGATTCCTGAGATCAATGAAAAGAGTGGAGTGAACAAAGGCAACAAACATCTCTTTCAAGGAGATATCCTCCTCACAGAGTGCGTGCTGGTGATCAAAACAAACTGATGATCGGATCTAGCAATCAGTTTTGTTAAGGTGTCAAATTGAGGACATCAATAAGAGAGATCAATGAATCAATCGGAGGAATTGAATCGAAATTCGAAAATCTCAACTGCTAGCCGCAACAAGCGTCAAGCAGTTACAAATCCATACAATCTGTGGACTCGCAGAACTGTGAGCTTCCACTTCGACAGTTCTGTTGGTGAGACAGGTTTTGTGTGATCGACGGAATCGTATAACTTTAATTTAAAAATGAATTCTAGGTTGAGAATCATCGGAGTTTTCGTGAAAGGAGCGATGCTGTGGCAGAAAGATTCATGTCTCAATTTCGTATATAACCCTATAGGTGAGAGTGGAATTTTTCGCGTAATTCTTCGAGAGTACACCTCGGGATAAAGTTGGTAGGGGGAAGAATTTGATACTAAAAGTAGGTGTGTAGGGTGAACCACCAGTTAAGAAAAAAAGAAAGAGAAACCGTGAGAATACAGAAAATGCGGAGGTGTTTGTTATACGATGTAAAGTAGATTAAAGGCAAAGGTCGGGATTAGTTGACCAAACCAACCCTTTCGGTCATCTCTGTACTTGATTACGCACCAGTACAGATGTTCCCACGCTCAAAATCTCGAACGGCGCGGTAATAAGGCCCAGGGTATGTACTATGCGCTATCGCCGCCTGGCCCCGCTACGACCGCCCACCTCGGGATGTGGTGCATGGCTGGAATTAACGTGTGAAATCAGCTAGGTTGATTGCCGTATCAACGTAGAACGACTGATATCTTCAGAAAACTTGTTTGTACGTGCCTCTTTCCCAAGCCAGCCTCCTTCACTGCTAGTGGGAAAGAGGGTTTTGTTAACGGCCTTGTCGACGGTTTTTCTCAGTTTTTTCTCCACTGTCGTTCCACTTCGCATCTCTATACTCAGTTTCAATCGCCATACCCCCTTATTGAGCCCGACTTTTGCCTTAAAAGCACACGCGGGGTTAGCGGCACGATTTAATGTTTGTTATACTCGAGCGTGGAATACGTGCGGACTGACGTTGATGTTCCCCTTTTACTTACTTACTTGGATACTTGGATGCTCGTTGCCAGGCGATGATATTCAGCGACGAGCACCTGCTTTCCTCTATTCTGGGATCTTGAGTGGTCTGGGCGCAGTGTTGACCCGCAGCTTCTTGAAGTTTTTCAGGGCGTTGGTCTTCATCGCAATGTGGACTGGTAAGGGTGTGCGCTTTATTTGTCGTGCGATACGGTGCAGAACGTACGCGAGGTAGTCACGAGGCGTCGATGTCTCACAGATGTCAGGCCCATCGTTTCTTTGCGTCCCATGTATACCTGCGGCGTCACGGATACCAGATATTGAGCGCATGTCCGCGGTGCGCAAGTTGCGGCTTCTCTGCTCCTGGCGGTCAGCAGTGTCTGCTCCCGCGCTCTTTGTGCACGAGTCAACATCATCGTAGGAGTCAGTTCTCAGATGCGTAGCGTAGTGGGGTCTCTAGTTACTGTTCGGTCAAGTAGTGTCGCTTGCGTTATCTTATCTTGTCGAGATGAGACGCCGTCTTGTAGTGTTCGCTGACTGCTGTTCATGTCGCTTTCTTGTCGTCTGGATGATCTCTGACTCATGTTAGTATGATCCAGTCGTAGATGAGGTCGGACGAGGTAGACATAGCAGTCCGGTGGGCCAGTCCTTTGTCTTGGGAGTAGCGGCGCCTCGAGTCGTAGAGGGGCTGGATGCATCGCACCCATTGGTTGCAGCCGTATAAATCCAATGTGTCTCTTGTCTCCGGTTTCAGCTCGTCGTGATGTGCCGACTGGCTCTGCCGATCTATCAGTTCACTCCATCCACCATTTGGTGCAATTCTCTGGGTTAGACAAGTTAGACAATTTCTTGCCGTCGATCTTGATGCCTCTATCGTCCCAGACCATTTGAAGCATCGAGTGGTTGAGGGCAGTGGTGAATAGCTTGGGAGAGATAGTGTCACCTTGCCTGACCTCTTTTTCAATCGGCACGCGTAGCTCTCGTTGAAACACAATGCGTCATCGCTTGGTAACGTGCCGTGTTTAATTATTTCCAGCAGGTTGATGTAGCAAGTGGTCTCGTACGCTTTGTTAGTGAGCTGGTAACGCGTTCCAGACAGAGTTGAGCTCCACACTGTCGAATGCCTTCGCATAGTCGATGAAGCAGAGAAGGAGTGGCTGCTTGTATTCTTTGGTCCGCTTGATCAGCTGCGTGACGGTGTGAATGTGGTCCATACAACAAAAGCCCTTAGCTGGGACGGCTGCCTGTTACCGTGTGATAGTCGGTTAACTTTTCTTTTCCAGTCTTTTATTGTGAGAGGCTTGTACAACTGTGCAGAGGGTGCAATGGCGCACGGATATTTTTCATTTGGTTGCTGCCTTTCGTAGAACTTAGAGAGGGCGCATTTGACGTCTTCATGGCCTGGGGAGTCATCTGCGCGATCTAGGACTGCTTATATAGCGCGTGGTGTAGGCTCGGGTGTCTGTTGATGACAGTGTAGACGCTTCAAAAGTCCACTTCTCGTTAGTCTCCATCGCGTTTACGCAGTTTATGACGAGCGAGAGTCACTTATGTCCCGACGACATCGCTTGAGGCTCGCTCTCACTTCTGCCGCTTCCTTCAGTCGAGTGTCTTTGTATCGCTTAATCGACTCCTTCACAGCGTATCGGCACGCTTTGTTAATCGTAGCGGTTCCAGTGATTGTAGGAGTGCTAGAGTACGGTGGACGGCAGCCCCTTGTTGGAATAGTGTACAAGCATTGTTATCGAACCTACTCCTTCATTAATGTTCTCACAACCGATGCCGTTGCGCAGTGTAGAAGTCCTTTACAAGCAAGTTGTAGTTATGTGACAAGTCCTGTGCCTCCTGCAATGTGTAGTGAGCCGCGGCCGCCTCCATGGCGTTTATGTCGTACTGCGGCAGTCGTATGGGTGGAGGTCGATAGTGGTCTCGTCTTCGGAGTTTTGCTCGGAGGCGAACTTTGGCCCGGACGAGTCTATGGTCGCTTCCGGTGCGGAAATGCATCTACCACACTGACGGGGTGGGGGGGGGGGGGGTCGTCTAGCAACGTCTGTTTGGTGAGAATTTGCTCGATTCGCTGTGAGCTGACGGGCGGATGGACGTCAAAGTCAAAGCTTCTTGCTGGCTTCCTCGAGAGTGGTTTGGTTGGCGCGCTACGGCAGTTGTTGGTTGGCAAATTCGTAGACAGTTCCCATGCCTCGACGGCTTTTCTTCCTGTATGCTCCAAATCCTCTGGCGGTTTTTGTCTTCACGTCCCTTCAGGTCGGTGTTTGCTCCAGTGCACTTAGAGCTCGTGCGTCTCTTCGGACGTTTGTGTTGCTGGTAGGCTGGAACGTCTTTTCGGGCAGCTAGCTTTTAACGCTGGTTATCTCACTATTAGCAAGGATTTTACTCGTTTTCGCGCCATCGCCGCTTGACCAGTGTGGATTTTGGGGGAGTATGCACCTTTTTTTTTGCGGCCCTTCGCAAAATGCGTGACACAGCGCGCTAAAAGCCTGTCGACCCGCGAACCGATCCATTCATTCAGTCCGCTTGCCCCCTCCGCGGCTGTATCGCCTGTGCAGCATGGGAGCAGTTTTGCGGCAGCGGCTGGCATTGTGGTGCCAATGCCATTTTTTTTTTGCGGCAACTGCAGCCAGGTTGGTGGAACTAAACTGGTTATGTCCAAGCGTCCTTCTCTGTTCTAAGGTGGAATGTCAGCTAAAAATTGAGCAGGTCCTAGATTTGTGGGGATGCGTGTATCGGCTGATTCTCTTGCTTCCGTTTTTCGGACCACTCACCTTCCCTAGCTTCATTGGAGAGCGCTCTTACACGCATATTATATCCCGAAGCTTGCCCTCAAGGCAGTGAGATGAAAAATATAGGACGTCTAGGAGAGAACGAAATTTTTTAGTACGAGACGTAGCGATCGCGGAGACGGCAGTGCAGTACCACGATGGGCGGACCACCAGCGTTTGACGTAATTCTAGTGCATCTTTCTGCCGCGACGACATCCTGTATCCCTAGTATTACTTCTTGATATCCTCGGTCATTCGGGATTTGCTCACCTTACTCCAGGATTGTGCTTGGAGACACATTTTTGGGAAGTAGTGGTACTCGCAGTTCATTCTGTAGATTCGATATCCTACTATATAAGGCTAGCGTGTGTCTGTTGGTGTGTGTGTATGTTTGACCGGAAATTCATAGCTCGAGTCACAGTAATGATAGCGCAGTGGTTCTTACATATGTTATAGGGGGTGGGATGGGGACACAAGTGGTACGTGATAGGAACTGATAACGACTGATAATAGCTGATAAGAGGGGCTAGAAAGCGAGCATCGCCAATTTCGTTTTGCCGTTCATATTGGTAAGAGAGCGTCTATACTTACAAGTCTTATGTGGGGCGGTCCCGGGACATTGGTGGTACATGATTGGAAGCGATAGCAACTGACTCTTTTTTATGGGACGAATGGTGCGCGCCAGAACGCTGAAGTCGGTCGATTTCCGTTGCTCTGGCTGCCGTTGACACGGCACCTTTTGACGCAGGGGTAATTTTTTGTTTTTTGTTATGTGGGGTGGGACGGGGACATTGTTGGTGGGTGCCAGAAACTGATAACGATTGATAAGGGCCGATAAGGCGCGCCAGAACGCTGAAGTCGTCGATTCCGTTGCCTGGCTCGCGTTGACACCAGAGCAACCATACTTACAAGTGTTATGTGGGGTGGGACGGGGACATTGTTGGTGGGTGCCAGAAACTGATAACGATTGATAAGGGCTGATAAGGCGCGTCAGAACGCAAAAGTCGTCAATTCCGTTACGCAGCGTTGACACTAGAGCGTTCCTACTTACAAATTGTAGTAAGTCGTAGTAGTACAAACAAAGGTACGTGCACATTATTTCGATATATATCCAGCTTACTTAATAGCAGTCGATTGCATAAATTCAATCAAGTCTTCAGCAAATGATAAGTTTCATTTCTATCAAGAAAGCCCAAACTCATTAAACCGCTAATCCTTTCGGGGTTCTAAATAATGGTGAATGTAAATAAATGATAAGCCTTAGCTCCTCACTTATGTAAATAGGCATATTTCGTTTTCATTTTGAGACTGACAGCAATCCTATTCACCGCTAAATTATCTTAATTCAAGAAGAATGCTGGATGTTTACAGTTGTGATCAATATACCAGTTCAGCTCCAGACGTTATCACGCGTATTCTCGATGAGCTTCAGCGAAACTGTGGAGGGTCTAACACAGTCAATAGTGAGATGGTTAATGGAGTATCTCATGCTGATATTCCATGGGTCCTCCAATTTCGCTAAAGCCTGCCGTGTGATGCGCGCGATAGCGGGCGAAGCAAAACTGGTATAGTATAAGACATTGAAGGCAGCAAGGCAAGGCAGACAGAGATCAAAGTAGGAACCATCAAAAAACTAAACCCACGATCGAAACGGTGCCATGTCTAGAAAAAATTGCGATAAATGGTATTCATGATAGGAGATGAGTGGATAGAAGCTTGTGAAATTAGGAAGCAATGGTAAATCGGTAATTGATAGTGGTTGGTTTTTTCCACAAGCGCAACAATTAGCGCCAGTGCTTCTATCACAACCTCATCGCACTCCCTGCTTATTCGGAGAATACACGTCACTTGGCTCTGGAAGCCGTCGAATAAGCCAGCCGATCGCATTCATTGTGGGTTCTGTCATGACGCGTTTTCTTAGAAGATGTTGATCATCAGCTAGTTTCAGGGATAGTAGTTCAGCGAGTAATGGAAAAAAGTGCCGTAGCTCGAGTTATAGACCCCCTTGGCTTACTCTCGTCGGGTCGCGTTGAGTTCCATAGTTTGAGAGATCAGGAGCTTTGAAGGGTATGAGTTAAGGGTACTAGCAGACTAGAAGATAGCGTAAAAGATCGGCTACTCATTGACTGGGTATTACTGAAGACTTTTAACCTATTCTTCTAACACCCAAATCAATACGTATCCACTCTCTGCAAATCTTCCGGCATTCCAGTCTATCAAATCAGGGTGAAACACTTTCTGAAAGACGCATTATAACCACTTCAATATGTAAGATTGACTACACTCCTGGAGAAAACTGAGAGCACTTTTTTCAGCTAACGATCGGATCAAAGTTATGAAAGGCCAGGGTTGCTTGGCAGCAATTGGGAAAAACGGTGGTGAGCAGCTATTATCGCTGGGACAAGGATGTGATTCAGGTCAGTATTGCCGCTCATGAGATCGGCCATGCACTCGGGCTGTACCACACTATGTCCAGGCACGATCGTGATCCAGTTCATTATAGTGG